CACTCTTCACCTTCACCATGGGTCAAGAAGACCAGATTGGATCCGGCGTTGGCCGCCTTCTCCGCTGCAAGCCAGAAAACACTGCCTAACTTAGTGTTAAGCGACAGTAAACTTTGCGCGAGTACTACTGCGCTATCTACCCTCACTCATTCTCAGTAGGTGTCAAGACAGACTCAAGGAAATCAAAGCTAGTACTGCTACTACTGCTACTGCCATTTCTACTACTATTAACTAGGAGTGTAGCTGAATGTTACTAATACAAACACTAATCAGCGGCACCTCTGACAAATACAAACGTCAGAAATAAAGTCAACGCTGGCGTTCATATTCCCTCAATCTCAACAAGAAGGGTGAATCTGTGTTTATGCTATTCCAAGTAGATACACGTTTGAGGTTCGGAGCAGATCAGGGCTTGCCTTGGTTTCCGCCCCCTCGTCTCTGCCCACCAAAAGCTGTGTCACATTTTACTAAGTTTTGGCTAGGATACTGCTACTAGAGGTGATATGTCCCTGCTAAGAGTGATATTCCTAGTAATCACACTTACTGAGACCAGTGGATGGTATATTCTAATAATATATTACCATAATCGTATCAGTAGCTGACATGCATCCTATTTTTGCAACAAGCATAACAGAGTCCTTAACATAATCTGGTCTGATTTGTAAGACACCCGGGCGAGCGTTCACGTCAGGTAGATAGGTACCATAATATAGCGAAATGAGAAATATCTCGAAGATTGATCGCTTATTAAGCGATCGATTTCTTGTATCTGAATAATGGATTATTAGGCCTCAGTAAGCATATCTATGCGACTTTTTTGTCATGGTCTTTCAGTAGATACTTTCAGTCAGCCATCCTTTTCCCCACATAGCTGGACGATGACAGCCCTCGATCAAGCACAATCGTTGCTCATCGGTTTTCGTCTGCCGGAGTCGAAGGTGAAACATCGTCCACACTTTGCGAGTCTTTAACCCCCGTTCGTGTCCCGTCAGGCCCTATTGAACCCGCCTGGTTGACCGGAATTACTGTCCTTCGTGGAGTCTCTGCCTCTCAACCGTTGAAAAGAAGGTTTTCGGCCGACATAAAATCCACTTACCCCAGTAAAGGTCATCTCTCTAAGTTTACTATTCTGGAAGAAACACCATCAGCGACAGGTATGTCTGAATTTCCGTTATCTTCCCATTACCGACATTTGACATCTCTATGCAAGATATTTTCTTTACTTGGCAGAATTGAAGACCACTTCACACACTGAAAGGATCGTTACGACGTCACCGGGGTCTCGGGGCCCGAATGTAACAACTGCATTTGCCCAGGAAAACGAACTCCAGTACGTTGCATCCTCTGAATTTCGAGCCAATTTTGTCCCTCTTGTATTTGCTGCTGTTCCCCTTTTTTCGTGTGTCTTCTTTTGCAAATTTTTAATTTCCTTGTCCACCACCGCCGTGAAGGGCTGCTGAAGGGCTTACTTATTATTTCGAGGAGGTGCGTTATCCTCTTAAAGGCACCTGCGATGCATTAACGTTTTTGTGATCAATGGCAAAGCCGTAAACGAGGAAAGAGGACAGTTGGACCTCAACACGTTTCCTTCTTTTCTATCCAACAATAATTAACTCCCTAGTCATTATCTGAGGCGGACTTCGGACAGCTAATTAATCGTAACGTTGATTGGGCGTTCGAACTCATGACTAAACTGGGTAGTGGGTAATGCCCCATACTAAGGCGATAAAGAAAACTGGTAGATGACTGATACTAATCATCAGTACCCCTTCCACTCTTTCTCACTGACCACCTTCCCCTTCTCTACTCTTCACTCTGCACGTATACTCACCGGCGACCTAAAAGCCCTGTTCACCTGGGGAATATGGCGGTGACAATTTTGGTTGGGAGCTTGGTGTTCCTCTGTTCCCTCTCGTGAGATTGCCCTTCTCTTGCCAACTCAGATGCTATTATATGCAAACTTACGGCGACTCGGTGTCTGCTTTTTTATTGAACAACAGCTGACTGAAACAGAAAAGCATTATCCACCTGCTCCTTTTAGATGAAGAGTTGATCTTGTCAAAGTTGAAGAAAACGGCGCTGAGCTGTGTTTGACAAAGTTTTCCATTCGGCTGTGGCCAATTAAGTGCTCCCGCATATAGGCTAGACACGTCGCCCGTATCCAATCAATTTATTCCCTCGTGATATTCTTTGACCGACCACGTCTTCGTTCCTCGTTTTAAAGGCCATTTAGGAGAATCCTTATTGGAAAATCAGACTACCCTACTTCAGGCGTCGTAGTCATCATCCTTAAGGACTACAGCCTCCTCTCCCACAGAAGTGAACTGGATCAGAATTAATGACAGACGCATGTGTACCTTCGAAGCTCCTATCATCAACTCTCTCTCCCTTCCTCCACCTCTACTCATTACCATCAAGTTCAGGCGGCTACTGTAGTCTGTAAATTACATAGGTTTTAGTGGTTTCGAGTCGGACACTAGTTTGTGAGGATGTGGAGGCCCATAGGCCTAATAATGTTTACAGGATTGATGAGAAGGACGCCGATGATTCAGGAGCTTTTTATAACTTAGAAGAAGAAGCTGCTGTCGATTTGCAACTCTTGCTACGACTGATGACATACCTAGCAGCGCTTATGCTGGCTCTGTAAGAGCCTTGTTATTGTTTACAACCAGTAGTTTTTCTCTCCACTTCGTCGTGTAAATGCATTTTCCGATTTCAATTTTGAGTTTGTTTCTGGCCAAGCCAGTATTACCGTCATTCCCGTCTACTGCCATCTTTGGGATCCTAATTCTGTTTTAACTTCCACCCAAGGTCTCTGCTTCACGAACACATGATGCAGCTCATTCGCCAAGATGTCTACGACTGTCAAGTGCCCAGCGAATGGGCCTCTACCATCTATGACCTTGCGCTCATGTTGAGCACACAGTTTAAACTGGACCTTCGGCCAGTTGTTACGAGCAATCTGCTGAACCGGAAGAATGCACAGTCTGGCACGGCTGCCCATCTGCCACTCATAGAAGACGCCGCTCTTTTTGAGTTCTACCAGAACAAGTACACCCCCATGAATATTCTGCGCTATGTTCAAATTAAAAAGGTGGGTGCCAAACAGTCCAAACAGTCGAATGGAGTTTTCTTTATCACCACAACAATCTTAATACTACTCTAGGCACACAGTAATACAAAGGTTTAAAGCTCCAATATTAATAATCACCATCCTCATAATCTTCCTCCTCATTCTCATCAACGTTCTCATTCACACCCTGCTCCTCCTGCTTCTGCCCCTCCTGCTCCTCCTCTTCCTCC